CTGGTCTTTTTAAAGTCAATTTCATGTCCTGTGGCTTTAAGGTGTTGGACCAAGGAAGAAGTTGGTTCCTCTTTTTTAACTGAGTTCTTGTGTTCTTCAATGCATGCACTTATTCTTCTATTGGTTTGTCCAATGTATGTGGTGGGGCAAGCGGTGCATGGGATTTCATATACTCCTTGATTTTCTAACTCAATTTTGTCTTTGGGGTTTCTTAGGATGGTGGATATTTTTCTGTTTATGCAGAATGCTGTCTTGATGTTGTGTTTGTGGAGGATCTTGCTGATTCTGTCTGTGGTGCCTTTTATGTATGGGAGGAGGGCTTTGCCGTTTTCTTGTTCTCTGTCTTGGATTTTAGTGGGGGTTTCTTTTTGGAAGATGACGAATGGGACTTCGTTGAAACGTCGCCAAGACATTTTCTATTTTACGAGGGAGAAAACCCGAATAACCAAAGACCTACATACAAACACCTGCGAAAACCTCAGAAAACAAATATATATAAAATTTCAATTGTGCCTAATTCAACAAAATTATTTTCTTGAATGGATGATTTTAAAATATCAATTGGAATTCTTTTTATGTTAGAGATATAATAAAAGTGAAGGTAGAAGCCTTTTAATAGCTTCCTATTGGTTAGATATTACAGTATTGTTGTCATCAATCAGATATTTGAAAGACAATCAAGAATTAAGTACGTTCATGCATTGTTACGTTGTATTATCAAAATTTGAAATTTGTCTATTTAGTAAGAATTTTGGACATACAGAACAAGAACTATTGCAAAAAATATGTGGGTCTGTATTCTTTTTTTTTTTTTTTTTTTTTTTTTTTATTAAATTTTTTATAAATTTTACAAAAAAAACAAGAACAATACAGAACAAAAAACAACATATACAAAAGAGAAAAAAAAATTAAACAATACATATAAAAAAAAAACCCCCACCCCACACCCCTCCCAAAAACCCTCCCTTCCCCCCCCCCTGAGCTTCCCAGAGCAGAATATAGGCTTAAGAAATAATAAAAAAAAAAAAATAAAAATTAAATTAAAAACTCTATATTTATATATATAAAAAAGATATCTATAATATATATAAAAATAAAACTTATGAAAAGGCTATATAATATTTTTGTATACCCAATCTAAATTGTATAAATTTTATCCATTTGTCCCAGATAGCAAAAAACTTCTCTTGCGTTTGTTGCTTTAAGAAAGCCGAAATCTTTGCCATTTCCGCCAAATAAGCTACTTTAAAAAACCATTCCTGCAATGTAGGCAAAGATTCCTTCTTCCAATATTGTCCAACTAACAGCCTCGCGGCTGTGATCAAGTTTAACATCAATACAACCTCCTTTGTATCACAATCTGTAACAATACCTAACAAAAATAATTGCGGAGTGAATTTTACCCTCCTTCTAAAAATTCTCTGGATATTCCACCATATTTTGATCCAAAATGCTTTTATCTCTCTGCATGACCACCAAATATGATAATAAGAAGCCTCCTTGTAACCACATCTCCAGCATTTAGGTTGCACGTCAGGGTACATATAAGACATTTTTTGTGGATCAAGGTGCCATCTATAAAACATTTTATAAAAATTCTCCCTTAAATTCTGTGCTTGAGTAAATTTGACATTTCTCACCCAAATAGTTTCCCAGGTGTCCAATGAAACTGGCTCACCAAAGTTCTGCGCCCATCTAATCATACAATCTTTAATTAGTTCCGTTTCTGAGTCCAATTCAACTAAAACCCCATAAATTCTCTTAATGTGGGTTTGTCTTTGATCCTTCAGTTGCTTAATAAGATTTTCATCTTCTCTAAGAAAACCCACCTTGCAATCCATCTTCCATCTATCTAGTAGTTGCCTATATTGGAACCAAGAATAAATAAAATTTTCTTGTACTAATTCTTCCCGTGATTTTAATTGCCAGTTTTGTCCATCCCATTTAAGTAACTGTCTATAAGACACCATGTCCATTTTAACCCCTCTTTTTATTCCTTCTATCGCATGCCAAGGTATAGCCCATAATGGTACTTTAAAGGTCTGTATTCTTTAAAGGATGCATTTATACCAAATTTGTCAACTTGCAGTCTTTCATCTGGTTTTGTTTTGACATAGAAGCAAGATTGGACATTATGATTTCATATAGTTTACGTTTGTGATATTATTTTGATATTATAAAAAACTGGTAAAATTTAAAAATGCTTTTTATTTTTAAATTTTTAATTGATGATGATTTTGTTACTGATGATTTTGTCAATATTTTAGTGTTATTTGGAGAGAGGTTTCCCATTCTTACTATTTTTTTATTTTCTTCCTTTCTTTTTGATTTGCATTGTTTAGTTGCTAGGGCTTTTACATATATACCTTCTTCAACAATACTTGAAATGAAATGTATTAGCTTTGTTTTTAATTGTTCTTATTACATGTTTTGGCATATCACAATTGCTATTAGAAGACAAACAAGTGGTTTTTGGATAATACTCAGATGTGATCATGAGAAACTGCATGTTGTAATTGGAAGATCTGACTACAATAATACATAAAATACTTTAGTTTTTATTTTTCATAATGCAAAATACCTAAATTGCTACTTCCTTTTCATTCCAGGCTTCCTTGTTTCCAGTTATTTTCTTAGGTTTTCTACTACAAGAATCATTAGAAAAAGTTTACAGATGTCTAGGGTAAAAGGGAACAATTACAGATAGTCCTCGACTTTCATTTAGTGACTGTTCAAAATTACAACAGCACTGAAAAAAGTAACTTATGACCGTTTTTCACACTTATGACAGTTGTAGCATCCCTATGGTCACATGATCAACATTCAGATGCTTGGCAACTGGTTCATGTTCATCACGATTGCAGTGTCCCAGAGTCATGTGATTCCGTTTTGCAACCTTCTAACAAGCTAAGTCAATGGGGAAGCCAGATTCACTAAACAACCATGTTACTAACTTAACAACTACAGTGATTTGCTTAACAACAGTTGCAAGAAAGGTCGTAAAATGGGGCAAAACTTACTTAACAAGTGTCTCACTTAGCAACAAAAATTTTAGGCTCATAAGCTGAGGACTACCTGTATTGGCAAAAGAAGAAGAAATAATAGTAAGAGGAAAAATGCTGGAATCTTTAAGACGATAGCTAGTATCTCAGTTCATTTTAGGTATGGGTAGAATCATACAGTCTAAAAGATCCCTTTTATGATTCCTAGATCCCTCTACGTTTGTGGCAGAGAGCCAAAACAGTTTGCTTAAAACTTGCAGATACATAAAGCATCAATTTCACATCTTGGAAATCCTAAAAACCTCTTCCCAAAAAGACTTTGGTCCTCTTCACTTTTGAAGTGCAGCTTTCAACATGAGATGCAAACCCTGTCGGACCCTCAAACTGACAGAACTGAAATAATTAATTACTTAAGAATTACTTGCCAAATGAGCTTTAGAATAGACAAAACCTAAATGTTTACCTTACCAAAGCTTGCACCATAAATTGATTCCATTCTCAGAAGACATGGAAGACATGGAAAAAGAGCTCACCTCAATTGTTTTTGTGGAGACACTTATTAATCATGATCACACATCTTCCTAGAGTTATATATATATTAGCATTATGGACTTTGTTCTATCTGTCCCCAAGAGAATGTTGTTCTATATTTTTCTAATATGTCATAAAATTGTAAGTTTTAAGTAAATTTTGAAAATGCAAGTGTTATCTCAGATTTATCTTACATTCTAATTTTCCTAATAAACCAGATCACAATAGGACAATCATTCCTAACACACGTAACCGGAGAATTTCTTGTCGAAAATGTAACAGCAATTTTTTTAAAAAAAATATTGCAGCTTTCAATCACAGAGGTCAGCAGCTTCCTTTTTCAGTGTCCAATTTCTTTTGGGTCATGCATTTCCAAGTGACCTACTTTGGTAAGAAAGGTGACAGCCAACTCATGGCCCTAATTGATTTAGGAACAGGGCCCAGGGAGACAGTCCAATTAAGTTTACAAGCTGGCAATTAGCAGAAAGGCCTCTAAATCCCTGCACTGAGAGCATGTTTCTCTCAGTAAGAACATAAATGTGCTAGAGATAGGAAAAGTAAAGCTGTGCTTTAAAGAAAATTGCCGTAAGCAGAGCCACATGGGAAAACTAAAACGAGCAAGGTAGGTATAGCCTGATTGCCTTCTGTTAGACAGGTAATCAAAAAAAATTAACAGCATTTAAAAATATACAACATTTGAGAATACATCAGCAACCTGTTTTAATTAGCTTTCCAAATAAACATCTATGACACAATAGAATAATTTAGTTCACCAATTATTGTACAGGATTTCCCGTTAAACAAGGTAACAAGACAATTTTTAAATATATAAAGCTGACATATCCTGAATGGTCTTATTATATTTATATACTACCTAATTGGTGGGATATAGGTAATCATTAGAGTGGCTTGCGGACTAGTTTCTACATACATACATACACACAAACGTATCTGGTCAAATCTGCAACCACACTGGCTTGAAAACTATTCTCTAGCTGCAATATTAATGGTGCTGGGTAAAATCCAGAGGCCTGTGATCATCAGTGGAATAACTGGGAGAAAGATGTTTGTCTCTCCAGCTCCCAAAATCAACTTAAAGAATTGCCCATTCTGCTGTAGCAGATTTAGAGCAAGGGGATGAGAAAGGCCTTCTGCATAAATCAAAGTTTCTTGCACAACAGTGGATTTCATCTATATTATTTACTAATTCTTTTCATTGGCTGAGACATATCACATAAAATACAAATCTTTTAATTACGTCTCTCTCTTCAGTTTTCTTCCAATCAACAGATTTCAACAGATTCAGTCCAATCATAAACAATATAATCTTGGATTCTTTTTTTCCAGTTCTTTTACTTTTCTTGCTTAGTTTTGTTGCAAATATAATCTTTTTTAAAAGCAGAAATTTTATATCTACTGATGAAATATATAAAAATTGCATGTGCCATTAACTACCAATAAACTTACCGGTTTTGAAATGAAGCACTCCAATAGGTCCTTTGTCAAATCTAAATAATAGAAGATCATATATATCTAAAACATCTATGTCCTGAGAAGAATCTTGTGGGACAGCCCACTGGATTTGAATGAAGCTGCTGGATATCTCAATTTTTTCACTGAATTGTAGTGTTGATTTGGGTGAGAGGTCTTCAGCTAAAAGCTGCATTTTAATTGGAGACAGTGCCATGTCAAATAACTGTAGTTCTCCTTGTGAACTACCAATAAGAATTACGGCAGCCCTAGAATGGCAACACATTAAGGCAGGTAGCAGCTTTGCTTCTGTTGCCAGAGTTACTTGACGGTAGGCTTCATACAGAACTACTGAAGAATCTTCACAACCCAGAACAAGTTTGTCTTCTGTAATATTCCTGCAACAGCTGATGGCTTTTGATGTTAATGGTATTTTGGTGATTGCCACACAATGAATTTTATTCCTAACATATTCATAAATGCAGCTGTCAACCATGGGTTTTTGGTCTGCACTCACAGATTGTTCTACAGTATGAATCTGATGTGGATTGCACATACTAAATCTGACATCAAGTGGATCCCCATCTGTATGAATATAATTCAGAATCTGAAAAACAACCCACATGCAGAATTACAGTGTGCTGAAATAACGTATTCTTACAAGTACTATAAAATAAAAAATGCTATAATTCATAACCAAGATAACAACTTAATTGACAAAAATGGATTTCATTGTACCTTATTAACTGCTAAATCATGTGACGTATTAATTGTGCCTCAAAGTCAGTTAGTTTATAGTTTATAGTATAAAGGGATGTACTATATTTCAGTTTAAGGTACATATTTTTTATGAATGTAATTAACTGGAATAGAATTTTTCACTAGTAAAAATAGGTCTGACTTTGTGAAATGATATATATCACAGGGCAAGTTTTTTCACTAAAATTTTACTTTATAAAGCATACATATACTCATCCATGTATGAAAGATTTAATTATACAGTGCTTTTCTATTTTAAAAAGTTCCAATAAAAGCAGAAGTGCCCCTAGGGAACATTTATTAGTCCTTTCTCAGCTATATTAAACAGATTAAACTATACTGATACAATATATTTCATAATTTTCCCTTTAGGTTCAACAAATTTAAATATAAAAACAAAATAATATTAATATATTCAAGCTAATAAGTAAGAGTTGAAAATGTAAATGATGTTCTAAAACTCCTCAAAAATGAAAGAATATTTTTACCTGGCACTTAATACTTTAATAGGCCAGAGTCTAAAGGAACCATTTTTAATTGCTACCCTCTTTATCTAAATGGAGATATCCAAAAAAGAAACTAAGAAAATTAAATCACTATATCCATGTAAAAGTAGGTGCTTCTTTAAATAATTAAATAAATTATCCCACATACAGTATTAGATCAACATGAGGTACTGAATCTTTTAAATATTATATCACTGGAAGAGTTGAGAAGCTTCACGAGATTTCAACTCCATTTGATTTTTCTTCTCTCTGAATTGAGATTCAGTTTCCATGAACCTAAAGCTCTGCTAAATATCCCTTCAATTTTTTTTCCTGTATAACTGTCAAGGGATGAACAATTAAAAACAGAGAGAACGTGGTCAAAGCTGTGTATTTGTTTTCTGTGACCCACCCCTAAAATCCTTCAGTCAAATGATCCTTCAAATAAGTTTCCTCAAATACATAAAATATTAGCAATTACATATTAACAAAAACATAATTCCTAATAACTCTAGGGAAATTTCAATTTCTGCCACCTGAAGAATTTTGATATAGCAGTAATTTAAACTGGTTATTATGAGAATTTTCCCCCTATTAGGCCTTCCTTCCCTTTTGCAGGGATTTACTTGTTTACTACAAAATCACTCCAGAGCCTTTTTAGCTAAATGGGTAAAACAAATATCCAATTTAGAGATTTAGAGGATTACCTCTAAGTTGCCATGTTCACATTTCAAGAGTAGCAAGTTGGCTCTCTCTCTCTTGCTAGACACTGGAGACCAAGGCCAAAGTTCATCTTTTGCAGCAGACCACCAGCAAATAACCATATTCTGTACATTATTTATTGTTAAATAACGCTTGATCCTTCTATTTCCTAGTCCTGGTATATCAATGTAAGATATCTGAGGAAGAAAAAGGCAGGGCAAATGTGAAATTACCAAGCAAATACAATATATGGGATTTATTTTACATACAAAAATAAGTATATAAAACCTAAACATTATACTGTACCTAAACATTATTTCATTCTTCAAGTCCACTGATAGCACTGTAACATTTCAGCATGTCCTATAATAGTTATATATCACTTCCCAGTCTTAGGATTTCATTTATAGCAACACTTCAAAATATCATATCAGTCGTCAAAATTATCTAGTGTTACAGCAGAATAAAGGAAACAATATAGTCTATTTGGACTTATAATGTGTCAGTCCAATACATTTAGACAGTTGTTGTTTTTCCCCTAAATTCAATATATAAAACATAAAGAACAATATTAAAAGCCTGAAAAGGAGAGGGAAGTACAGAATTCTTGGTTGCACTGTGTTAACATTGTACTATTACTTAGATGTACGAAAGTGGGTCTTGAGTGCTACATTTGCAGTGCTTCCCACTACACTAAGGTGCATGTAAGTATTTATGTGTATGTTGTGTGGGTGTGTGTATAAATATATACATAATAGAGACATGTATGGCTATGCAGAAGTATTCACTCTCCTTAGGATGTTCTGAACTTTTGCAGATGAATATTATCACAGCTTGATGAGAGTCTCATTGATATATGAAGAGAGTTTGAATAAACCAATACTTATTATTAAAGATTGGTTCTTGTTCCATTTGTGTAATACTGTAAGCTAAATTAACCAACATATAAAGTGCCAGTGCAAAAAAAATTTACCTTTTAGATTCAGTAACACAGGGCTCCCCAACCCCCAGTCTTCAGCCTGGTATTGGGCTGTAGCCCATTGAGAACTGGGTCACGCAAGTGGTGGGTGAGTGCACGAATGTACAAAGCACCATTTGTGCAGGCAGTGGGTCCATGTGTGAAACCGTGACCTCTCACCACTGCTGCTGCTAGTTGGCAGAGTGAAAAGGCTGGGGATTGCTGCAGTAACACACACACACATTTACCTCCAAGAACTACAAGCAAAAGCTTCTTCTAATTGGTTATTAGTGTTTTAGCTCAGGGGTCCCCAACCCCTGGTCCATGGACCAATACTGGGCCACAGCATGCCAGCAACCAGTCCACACAAACAAGCAACTCTCCATCCATGGGATGCAGGCAGCACACAAAACCATGCACCCTCTGGTCCGCGGAAAAACCTCTCCACGTAACCGATCCCAGGTTCCCAAAAGGTTGGGGGCCTCTGTTTTAGCTCACTAGATACAAAAGCTGGCCTATTCTTCCATAGCAAACTGCTTCAACTGAGTTGCATTTGAGGGTTTTCTAGCATAAAATAGTAAATAATTTCAGGTTCTGCCATGTCTATGGAATTTAGGTCTGGATTTTGACTTGGTCATTTTCTAAAACTGAGTTTGTTCTTGGGCCTTTATCTTGTCAACATGCTTGTAAGTTTGGTATAGCTATCTTTCTGCATGACTTGCTTAGGCTTAAACTCTTGCAGAATTCTTTGATGCAGAGCAGAACTCAATATGTTCAGTGATGGCAAATGATTCAAGTCCAAACCACCATCCCCAAACCATGACCCTTTGATGCCTGACAGTTGGTATGTGAAAGTCAGTGTTTGACTTCTAATAGTTAAAACTACATATATATAGCCTGAAAAATTCCACTTTTAACTCATCTGTCCTTAAAACATTCCTCTAGAAGCCTGGGGTCATCCAGGTGCTTTTCAGTACATTTAAAGAGAAATCATTCTTGTGAGCAAAGGTTTCTCTGTTGCTATTTTTGTGTGAATCGCATTTTACTCTCTGCTTTTCTCCTGGCAGAGTCAAGGGAAATGATGCCTGCAGATACTCAGATGTTGCTCTGAGTTTTTTTGTGGTTTCCTGAATAATTTTAGGATGTGCTTTTTAGTGGCATTGACAAGGTGGCCATTTTTGGGAAGATTCACTATTGACCCAAAACATTGTTTTAAGATGGTCTCTGATATTGATTGGTTGAGACCAGAATGTTTAAAATCGGTTTGTATATTTTTCCAGATTGATAATTACCAGTTGTTTTTTATATATCTTTTGTATCTCTAGATACCTTGTGGTATAAATTGCCCTGTGTTGATGGTAGCCAAACTCTGTGTATAGAGGGCAGGACTGGCCCAAATCATTCCTTATTGTATACTGAAATGTCTCCTGAATCTTAGTTATTCCTTTAATTGAATTGATTGCATTGTGAATGGTTTTCATACTTGCACATTGGATATTGAATTATTTTGTTCACAAAATAAATGAAATAAAGGCCAAAGTTTAGTATTGTCTGCTTACTCAGATTCTCTTTACATATCAGTAGGGCTCAAATGAAACTCTGGTTTACCCCAAGTGGCAGAGATGTGCAAACCTTCAGAACATCCAAAAGTCCACAAAATACTTTTTCATGGAGTATTTTGTGTGTACATATTAACATATACATATATAAATGCATACAAAATTGTAGCATCTCTTTGAATTAGTGTATGCAAGTATGTAAGAAAGTTTGTTACATTTTAATAGCTAAGAGCTGCTAGATGTGTATGTGAAGATATCCATATAAGTTACGTGCATTGATGCAAAGTAATTTATACTGGGAGAATGATAGAATGCTACTGGATGAGATGAAGCAAATTTCCCTCTCCTAAGCTGTGGGCAAAAAAAAAAAAAAAAAAATCCACTCATGAATTGGAGGAATTAAATCAGAGGCAAATTATGACAGAGGAAAGGTTAGGACTGGAAAGTAAGAATATTTACATTAAACCTTAGTTGATGATATAATTTACTGAATCAACAATTTCCCTTTTTACTAGAAACACAGGGCATGGGGTGATTTGAGGAATACTTCCCATCAAAGAACTCTGGTCAGCACAAGCTTTACCTCAGTGGTTCTCAACCTTTTTAATGCCGCGACCCCCAACCGATCGTAAATCGAGGACTACTCAACCGGTCGTAAGTCGAGGACTACTCAACCGGTCGTAAGTCGAGGACTACTCAACTGGTGCAGAACCGTTTGCAGAATGGGACTTTTGGCGGGTTCAGCAGGGCAGAGACAGCCTGGACAATTCCTATTGGCTTTTGAAAGCCAATAGAATTAGACTCTATTCAAGAGAATCTATTCTATTGGCTTTCAAAAGCCAATAGAATAAAAGAAAGTAGCACAGCTAAGGAAAAGGGAAAAAAAATGGCGGACTGCGTTGTTTGGCGACCCCCGTGAAATGGTCGTTCGACCCCAAATGGGGTCCCAACCCACAGGTTGAGAACCACTGCTTTACCCTAAACTGTACTCCATTAAAAAAAAAAACACCTTCTTTTACTCAGCTGCTGATTTTCTCCCAACAGTTCAAAATTTATTTTCCTCTTCCACTATTCTGCCTTGGCATGCTCCCCCCATGTCTTCCTGTTTATTACAAACACTTCTTTTGCCTCTGGGGGGGGGTGGGTCTGATCTTTCCACAAATCCCATTACTTTGCTTTTGTGAAGGTCCTTCCCTTCCTTGCTCTTCTGGTTTCTATGTATATGAACCATGACGGTTGTATGTGAAAGCATTTTGAGAATGGGATTAGAGCAACACAGTAAGAGGAACCTTGAACAGAAATGAGGAATGAAACATAATATCCTAATGGGGAGGGAACCAACTGCCTTTGGATGTGCCAAGTAATAATTGCATGATGCTTTTTAGAACAAAGAAATGAGGGCTATTTCTATTGTAGATTACAGGCACAATTGAGCCCAAAATCTCTGTTGTTAAGTGAGTTTTGCCCCAATTTGTCACCTTTCTTGCCACAGTTGTTAAGTGAATTGCAGTTCTTAAGTTAATAACATATTTAAGTGAATCTGTCTTCCCCACTCACTTCGCTTGTCAGAAAGTCGCAAAAGGTGATATTGCAACCATCATAAATGAGTCAGTTGCCAAGCATCTGAATTTTGATCATGTGACCATGGGGATGCTGCAATAATTATAATTCTAAAGCCATGGTGGCGCAGTGGTTAGAATGCAGTACTGCAGGCTACTTCTGCTGCTGGTTTCCTGCAGTTTGGCAATTTGTTTCTCACCAGCTCAAGGTTGACTCAGCCTTCTATCCTTCTGAAGTCGTAAAATGAGGACCCAGATTGTTGGGGGCAATAGGCTGACTCTGTAAACCACTCAGAGAGGGCTGAAGAGCACTGTGAAGCAGTAGATACAGTCTAAGTGCTATTGCTATAAGTGTGGAAAGCGATCATGTTACTTTTTTTCAATGCCGTTGTAACTTTGAATGGTCACTAAACGAACTGTTGCAAGTCAAAGATTACCTGTATTTTTTTTTCTCATCTACATTTAAAAGAAGAAACTTTTTCTTTTACTGTGGATGAGGAGGAAGAGGGCTGTAAGATAGAGTACCATCATCTTGTGGTCAGAGGCTATACTTCCAAACAGCATTTTAAAATAATTTTGATCTTACTGAATCACAGATAAACCCGAATAAAAGTGGTTAATAAAATCACCACCACTGTTAAATTAGTAAAGAATGTTTTCAGGATGTGCTTTTATGAATTTGGAAGAATGGATTGAAACCACTTTAACTAAAACATGCACACAAATTAACAGATATATATTTTGCTTTGTTGAAGTGTTTTCCAAAACCACTGCTCATAAGTAAAGCGTTACTCATACTGCGAGTGCTCATCCCACATTTCAGCTATTTTGATTGCAATGTGAGCTTTTAAAGATACTTATTTGACTGACATCAATATGATTAAAAAATCTCTAGCTTTTTGCACCTATAGCTAGCATCTAATGTAAGATTAATTTGGAAACAATCTGGAGATTATTTTTATAAATTTGACAAATACATGATACATGTTATTTCTCTTCACTTTTATATTTCTAGGTCTGTGAGAACGCATAAAACTCCTGGTTGCAGATATGGACAGGGAAGCATACAAGTTAAGGAGGAATTTACTGCTGTGATTCCAATCAATACTAAAATGTACAGTCATGGTTGCTTGACAGCATCGACCTATGTGTAAGGATTTAAAGCTACTTATGTATTAAGTTCCACTATACTGACCAAAAGTATTGGAAAAAGGCTACTCGTTTCAAATATAACACTGAACATTAAAAGGTCATTTACAATGTATGAATAGGATATATATATATATATATATATTCCCCCAGAATTAAGAACACCAACTATTGTAACAGGGGATATAATTTTTGCCAAGTAATATGGATGAGTGACAGCATGATGTATAAAGTTTATGTGGCTTTGAGAATTGCTTAGTTCTATTCCTTCTATTCTATTCTTTTATTATTCAAACTATGTTATTTTGGAGCATGGTTATTTGAAAACATGAACAGTACACCATCTGGGTGACACATGCCAAGGAAATATAGATTGCACCACATTTCTGCTTAAGGAATTAATGGAAGGTTGATAGCTGGGGGGAGTGGAAAAAAACTATCTTGCTATTGCTGGTCAGCAATAATCGAACCACTTTCTGGGGATTAAGCGCATGGCTAAGCCTACTGGACCAGACACAAGCAAAGGGCAGGGGGTCTTCTTATCAGAGAAATGCTTCTGGAGCCAGTCTCACTACATGACAGATTGCTTTCATATTCCTGTCTGCAAGGCAACAAAGGATGGCAGTAATGCGATAATGCCAGAGTGCAATGGGTGTTAAGAACCCGTTGCATTTATGTATTGTATTTAGTAAATAATCAGACTCATCCAAATTGTGATCTCACCACTCAACCAAGGCCCATTAAAAATCAAGGTTAATGCTTTAATAATCCTTTGCTGTTTTTTTTATGGTCAAAAAGAATTCCTTTCTATTTGCATGGTCATAATATTATTGACCTCTTCATCCCCTGAATACACATCAAAAGGAACTGAAATCAAAGTAATTGCCACTGTTTTCTCTCAGTAAACATTAACTCTTTATACTCTGTCTTCTCACAATTCAGCAAAGTGATTTAAAAAGCTATGAAAATGAAAACATGCAAAACAGCAATGATTTCCAAAGATTTATCAAAAAGTTTTATGGTGCTGAGAGTTTAGAAGAATAAGATACGGCAGGTTATGAAATTCTGAAAAAAATAACTATAATGGCTTCATTGAGCATTGGTAGCATGAATGGAGTTCTCAGGCTATTAGGTACTGAAGTTTGTTACATACTAGAACTACTTTAAACTATATATTTATTTTGCATAGCTCTTCAACTATTTTATATTAATTTCAGCTTTCTTTTTCAATATCTTTGTTACCCACTTTCCAAAATTAACATTAGCCAGAAAAATATTTTTATAACTAATAGCAACCAGGGTACTTATGCTAATACATATTGTGTAGCTGACTATAGTGCCCAATTTAATTTTAGTGCAATATTATTACATTGAATATACCTTGCTGCTATTTTTGTAATGCTACCTTGGAAGCTTTTTTAACAAACATCAATTTTATTAAAATAAATTATGTAAAAGAAAATAAATTAAACATAGGATTACAAAGCTTATCCCCATTCTTTTGGAACACAGTTCCTTTCTTCCTTTTGGATAAATAACGGTACTTAATAATGCTTTTTTCTCTTAAACAAGGAATGAAAAATTCCTGCTTTTGAAGCAAATTGTGTGAACAAGAATGGCTTCGATCCTACCAGTTAAAACACTGCCTCACTCTGGTTTCATCCGCCCGTCTCACCAGATCTAACAGAAAGGGTATGTAATGGTCCTGTCATCTAGGGCGCTACATTTAGTGGGGCCTAGAAAGTGAACCCTTTTTTGCTGTAGCATCTGCAGTGTGGAATCTTTCTCTCCCCCACCCAAGGTAAGGATGGCTTTATTGCTGCTAGACTTCAGAAGGTCACCTAAGACCTGGTTATGCCAGCAAGCCTGAGGACTATTATTATCCCTTCACCTATTAATTTTGTTTTAGGTGTTTATATAGTTTTTAATCTTTTAATATTTGTTAATGTTAATGATTTTAGATATTTATTGTTTTAATTTTGTTGTACATCACCTATGTCACTTACTTGTAAGATGGGCGACTATATAAATTAGATAAATTAAATATTGTCATTCCAGCAATTTTGTTTCCTTCATCGTGTTTTTATTATGCAGGGGTGAAGATTGTGGGAAAATGAGTGCTGAATAATTGGTTTATCTAAGAAGAGACAACTCAATGCAGAAATACAGATTATGTTTCAAAGAAGCTAATTAATTCATTGTAACTGAAACTATGAATTTATTCTTACAGTTATCTAGATTCTAGATTCTGGTTTTAGCTCAGATTAGCATTAAAAATAGCTTCCTGAAATCCAAGTTGGTCTTGTTATCTTGGTTATGCCAGCTATTTGGGACTTTATAGCAAACAATATGCTCTGTCCACATGTAGTAAATTATTGATGGTTTGTTTATGAAACATTCCGTATTAAGAAAAATATCAGTTCTCTCAACTTTTAACTATTTAAGTTCATAAACGTTTAGATACAGAAACAGAACTGCTATCATTCTATTTTTAGAGAATTTCTTACTCTATTACTGTGATATTTAGAATATTAGATGTTAAGATACATTCCTTTTAATATCAATAATCACAGCAGACAGGAAAATGCAGATAAAATTCAGATCTTTAGCCAATCAAAAGTACATGAGAACAAACCAAGCTACTCTTAACCCATGGTTTAGCAGGTATAAAATGAGAAGCAACTAATTGTTGTATTCAGAATCTCAACAAAACCTACTGTATGCTTATAGGTCTGAGAATGGAGTCTGCCAATATAATAGTAGAGCTTCTCTAGATGGCAAACATTGGAAAAATTCTGATTAATACATTTTATTAAAAGAAATAAGCTTTCATTAGCTATGAACACTTCATCAGATGCATGGAGATCTTATCTCATTTTGAGCATTCCATAGTGGCCGCCATAGATTGGTATGACTCTCCTATAATCGCTTTGATAATAGATTTTGTTTACCCAAAGAAACCCAGAGTAGAAATGCAATGAAAGCAATGTAAAAAAACCATATTCAATAAAAGAATTACATGAAGCAACCAATGAGAAAAAATAAGAGAGAGAATTTAATGTAATAGTTAATGCACCAGGAGATTGTAAGTTCTAGTCCTGTCTTTGGCATGAAAACCGGCTGGTTGGCTTTGGGCCAGTCACTCTCTCTCAGCCCTACTCAATACAGGGTTGTTGTTATGGGGAAAATGGAAGGAAGAAGGAATATTTGGTACATTTGCCGCCTTGAGTTATTTATACAAATAATAAAGGAAGGATAAAAATAATAGAGAAGTATAAATAAATATCGACCTTGCCCTAAAGTAAGAAAATAAACACCCAGTTAGAAATTAAGCAAAGCTCATTTCAAAAACACAGGCAGAAAGGCAGCCTGGTACTTGGAGCAATAGCTACCCTATAATAGTTATCCTATAATGCCTGCATGCTTCAATTACTTTAAATTGTCCCACATTTCAAGAGCAGTTCTGTAAAGGCTAAAGGCAGTGCCATAAGGCAGATCACCAACCATAGCTACCCACCAACCCTTTTACAGTAGCAAAATAATTCCATTGATGACATACTATAGGAATATACGCTCCTTTATTGGAACAGATACAGTCTGCTTTTCTGAAATGCCCCACCAACTCCAGAAGTAAGGGCAAAGTTGAGTACCGTATATGCCGGCGTTTAAGGCGATCCGGCGTATAAGACGACCCCCGTCTTTGGCGCTGAGTCGCATGCCTAGAACGTCGTCTTATACGCCGGAAACTACCAGTATTTCCGGCGTATAAGATGACTCGGCGTATAAGACGACCCGTCTTTGGCGCCGATTTTAACGCTTCCGGAAGTCGCCTTATACGCCGGCATATACGGTATATCTTCTATAAAAAGTCACTGAGCAATTAAAGAAATTATTATTGGCGGAAGATATTGTTTATGGATCCAGATAGATTACCCAATTGTGTTTCAAAGAGTAGACACTTAGTATATCTCCTTGCACTTGAACTGCCCATCTCACAATATAGATTCTTTATCCAATTTCCAGTCCAATAAATCTTGGCTATTTATGCCCAAGACGATATCACATCCCTTAAAATGATGAATTAGTCAATGGTGTTCAAGCAATGCTCCAGTTGTTTTGGGACTGCACCCAAGGCATCTTCTACTATTGGTATTACCTTTGCTTTCTTTTGCCACAGCCATTCTATTTTTATTTGCAGGTCTTTGTATTTTGTTATCTTCTCCAGTTCTTTCTCTTCTATTCTGCTGTCTTCAGATACTACCATGTCAACTTTCCAGACTTGTCTTTCTTATTGACAATTGTTAAATCTGGCATCTTATGCAGTAGGTGTCTGTCAGGTCCCAGAGCACTTTAGCTTCTTCTTTTCTTATTACTTTCTCTATTTTATGGTCCCACCAGTTCCTGAATGTAATTTATGATTAATATATTTTCTTTCAATTGGCTTTATAGTTTTTTGATATGGTGAGACAACTAATTAATACTTGTACCATAATAAAAGTGGACAATGTTGCCCAGAGAAAATTGTTTGTTGTGATTATCTTCTTTTCCTAATTTATTGTTTTAATCTTTAAAAATTGATTGGAACCAGAAATTCTGCTTCTATCCACTTTTGCATACACTTTTAGGAATTGCAGACAAGTACAACATTTACGGTAGGTCCCTGAACAATCTAAAACATGTCTTTCATTTTGGAATTGAAATGCTGCACCAGCCCTACTATAATTCTTACTTAATTAGAACTGTTGGGTAATTCCTAGGTAACTGAGTGTAAGATTACTTTTTTAACTGTACAACTCACATCATATGTTTGTTCTTTTGATAACACGTCTTTGTACATCTTACTAAATTTTAACATGAACAGAGATATATAATTCATTCTTCCTGTTAGAAGAAATTTAAGATGAAAAATAAGATGTAATAAAGATATATATGATAAATCTAGACCATTCTGATGACACTGATTTCAATGAATCATTACAACACCTGGATTTTATTATAAATAGAGTGAACAATGTTTGATATTATCTAGGTTAATGTTTTGTTATTAAAAGTTCAGATATTTTCAATAAGAGGAAATATTTCATTTTTTCTATCCTAAATCACCTACTATTCAGATTTACTGGGTGCCTTCTTACTATCACTTTTCTAAGCAAACAGCTCCAAGGAGAGATGCTGTGTCTCTTTTTTTCATTTTTATCCTTTTTTATGTTTTTTCAGCTCTCTGTTATTTTCTTTAGTTGTAGTGGCTATGAATACACACTCCTTTACAAATAGAATTACATCATCTATTTGTATAAAGTCATTACAGTTCTTGCATTTTAATTTTCAGTTCTTTTCACAATGATAATCAGCACGGAATGTGCCACTGTGATGGGATCATAATCTGAGAGGCAGTATGATACATTAGGTAATGTTCTTCATGATCAAGATACAGTAGATTGTTTCTTTTCATATCAGAAATAAAGAAAATAGTCTGCAAGTGAATTATTTTTGGAAGGTGGGTGTGCTAATACTCCTTGTTTGCATTAGAGTAAAATGAAGTTAATTATCTGGCTAGAGCATAGGATTTTGAATTGATTGGGAGTTAGGCTGACAAGTTATGCTTTCTGGCAAGGATGAAAACAAAGAGTTCTAATCAGTGCAATGTAGAATGGCAAGGTATTATAAAAAAAATCAATATGCAAGCTGGTGTCTGAATAGTTCCTACCCCAACATTAATGCATATAAGTATACACACTGAGCACCAGTTGGAGAGGGGAGGTTCATATATATGCCTGTTCACAAGAACAACTTCATGGGACTAATAATCTAGCATCACACCCATGTCATTTGCATTCTCCCAGTGAGAGGTATGGAAGCCTAAATTCCTTTTCTTTTCCCCTGAAGGCAAATCCTTTTTTGAAAAAAAATGCCTACAATTTAGTGATTGCCTTCTTGCTGTTTGTGCTTTGGGGCTTTATTTTATTGCTGATTTAATTGATGCTGGTTGCCTGTATAGGTTTTTTTTGTGTGTTATGCACTACTTTGTTAAATTGTAACTAAATGTTTTAAAAAATAATTTTTATATTTCAGAATACCTATTACAAAGGCTAATCACACCTACAATTTTAGCTATTTAAAAACAATGTCTTAATGTGCATGAACTGTTTCCCAATGTTCTTAGACAAAAAATATGTAAAGGTATATGCATGCATACAGAATCATTACAATCAACAATAAAAAAAATATTGTACTCCTACAGTTACTACAATCCACCATAAAACAGCAATTGTGTAGAACTACAGCACTAATATAAATACAAATTGTTTTTCAGTTATAAATATTAGGCTGATTGAAGTATTAGAAATAATATTATAATTAAACTTTAAATATATTAAATTGTGGTAGTGGTTCTCATTTAATCTTTTTCTTGAATATTGATGTTTTTCTGTTTTCTTAAAAGTTCATGTAAGCTATGTTTTTGGTCCAAACGAGGGGATAATTAAACACATGCAAGATAGATTTGGAAAATAAATTAAGTTATTCCAAAACTGCTTTGCAATGATGTTAAGTATATATAGATTTTGATAATAGTTACCAAAAGCCCAAACTTAACAAACACACAAAAGTGTGCATCACTCTGAAGTAAACAACGTATCAGCTCAGTTCCTTGTGAACAGTGAACTGTCTCAAATCCATGTTACAGAGGTTGGATCAATCTTGCAAACACAACTCAGTATTGAAAAGAGGCCTTCAACTGAAGCAGCCTGGAAAATATATTAGATGTTCATTCTAGCAGAGAGCATTCCCAACAAACTCTATAATATAATCTGGCAATATAATATAATTCACTAAAACTAGCTTTGTAGATACAAAATCTATTAAACAGAAAAATAACAAAAAAGCAACAGGACAAAAATAATACTAGCTAACAAAACAAGTCTCTCATGTTTGTTATCTAATAACATTCTGTCAGTGATAGGGGATGAAAGGCAGCTATCTCCATACTTACAATGTAGTGGAGACCAATCTTTTACGAATCTCCATTTTTCATTTTAAAAACAAATAAAATAAATATATTTCTTATTTCATTTGAATAATCTCTTCTATCGTATATATATTCAGATTTTTCAGAATATATTAGGAAGAAGTACATTCTAAAGCCTTTATCTCAAATCTCAATATTATAAATTGAATTCAGTTCCTTTCACCATAAACCAGTATTGCCAATGGCAAAGGACTGTGAGAGTTGTAGTCCAAACTACTTAAGAGAAACCCGGTATCCATACATCTTGTATCTTGCACTCCTTTACAAGCTCAGTGCTACCTATCAACCTAGTCTGGTATCGCCAACTGGATTTGGTTTTTAATATTCTATGCAAAGTTTGTAATAATTCCATTTACTGAATTTTGTTGCACAATATTATCATGTTTAAGCTCCTACATTGTTGCATATTGGTTAATGCTCCATGATTTTTTTCCTTCATAGGATCCAGATATACAGTAGAATCTGAATATAAGAGGAGATTCTTTATCACTGATACATCAGTGGCCTCTTTATCATATGTTTTAAAGTTTAAGCATAATCTAGCCTAAGTTTATCTACAGTTTATCTTTGGCAGCCATTTCTAAAACCTTATAGTATAAGTAGACTGAAATGTCTATCTGTCTGTTTGCTTGTCTGCCTATCTGCCTACTTACCTAAATTTCTTGACAGTTATATCAATCCATATGAAATTCAATTAAGCATCCCTGAAAAGATTTGTCTATACTTTATACTAAGTCCCTATCTTTTTTTTAACATTTATTTCTCCAGTTATGATACAATTATGATACTTGCAAAACCATTAAAGGCTATACCTTAAAATCGAAGTTTGAGAGTTTTTCAAGTCTTTTGTTTACATCCGGAGAATTTGCTTTTTTTGAGGATTGAATGAAACAGAGTTTGCTTTGTTCCCAAAATGAAAAGATCATGAAAGTGTCAGTAAGCACAGCTGGAAGAAAAAACAACATTTTAATACCTATCACTGACAACCAAATAAATTGCTGAAATATCCACTGGAATATTGGAAGATAAAAACTTATTTTCAGCATTATGCATGACTTGTATGATGTACTGATAAGTGTTTCTCCTATTGTGTCTTTTTGAAAATGGTAAGTAAAGCCTAGGAAGCAGATGTAATAAAATTGAATAAATTATGATATAAATATTTTAAAGATATATTATTTTACAATCTCTCTTTTATTGGTTCTTTTCTCTTAAATTATTTTCAGATAGCAATCTCTTCTACAGTAGTTGACACTGGATGAGTGAAAATATTGTGGCTATGCTGGAGTGAAGTACTTAAAAAATATCAAATGAGAGGGTAGTTATTACTGTGGCTTAACTGATTTCTTGTAATTGTTATGCTTTAAGAAAGACAAATGGGTGGTAAGTGTTTGTTTGGTACAAGCATTTTTTAAAAATTCTTAAATGAAAGCATACATGAAAATGAATGAAACCAATTAGCTCTGCAGGTACCTGAAGTTTATAAAACTACCAATACACTGTTTTTTTGGGGGGTGGGGTGGGCTGGGGTGAGGAGAGGATGGTGATGACCCTGTAGTATCAGCTATTCCTGCATTGTGGCTTACAAACATACAATAAAGACATCTACTATAAGAAAAAAAGAATTAAAAGGGGAAATATTTAAAAAATTATTTCAAAGATCTCATAAAACCAGAACTGAAAATAACCCTCCCAAAACAAATTAACATTTAAAAATAAAAGCTCTGCTTTCTTAATTTATGTTAATCTTTTAGTAACTTTTAGCTATCTTTTCACACAATTAGCTAGCAGTAGTACTATGTTTTGTACTATGTTAGGAGAAGGAGGAGTAAAAACTAATAACAGATTCCAGATAACTTTTTGGAATGCCTCAAAAGAAGTGAATTATTTATTTAGTTTATTGCATATCATATATGGATTGGCAATATATAAACATTTCACATAGATTAGTAAAATACAATAAAATATAAATGTTAAAAAGATCTATGTTCAAATAGCACTGTCTAGGCCATCTAATCACTGAAGCGCAGGATTTTAATACACTCGCTTATAATCCTCATAGAGTCATTGAGTATGGCATCTAATTTACTAGTATGGCAGCTGATAAGCCATATAGGGGCACAGTATTCTGCTGCAAAAGAAGTAAAAATTGAATATCTACTTCTGACTGCATCCCAATAAACGTAGAATAAAACAATAAATTTGAGCAACTCACCCCAAAAGGAGCTCAAGTGTGGAATAACCACAATAAGAACTCTTTTTTAAAAAACAAATTGTATTAATTTTCTAATTTTACAAAGCTCCAAGTGTTACGAAAGCAACATGGTGATGGGGTAATCCATAGTCCAATAACAAGCTCTTTCATACATATGTCAGGATACATCATCAAAAATTCCCCCTCTGTTTCTCTTGGTTATTATATCACATTCAAATTAATACATTACTAGTTATAACTCAATTGGTTAAAACATTTATCAATATCTTTTGACTTATACGCCTCCGTGTCCTGTTTTTAACTTTAATCTAATTTCAGTTACAGTATTCCAATTAGCTTAATGTCCATAGTATTTAGGTTTCAGATAATCCACGGTTCCCTTAGTTCATTACAAAGTAGTTATCATATCTAAAATACACTTATTATTTACTCAGATAAATTCTTACTTTATTTCACAATCATATTCTATTTCTCATCCTAATATCATCACTTACTCATCAAATAACCTTTATCATCTCAATCCATCTTCTATATTATAATTCAAAACTATTATTCTAATAACTAGTTTTTATTTTCCTTATAGGTCTAAATCCTAAATATTAAATCAGTTAATGTCATTTTAAAATCTTCTTAGCCTATTTAATGAGATTTTAGGCTCTTCCATTAAAGGTCACATAAAAAAATCCCATTTTTTAAGTCTAACACTGGCTTTCCTTTTATGCCAAGCAGGCTTCCATAACAGTGACTTTAAATCCTCAGGTGGATCTCTCTTCATTCCTACGCATGTCATTTGAATCCAGTTATCAATTTTTCAAGAAAGCTGGTCCCCTCGTAGTCATTAGGTTGTTGGCCTAATAATTTGAGTCTCCATATTTGGCTTAGTATATTTATCATCAGTTCAGACTGGTTATCTTCTTCTTCTGGTTTCAGCTGATTTAAGTAAAAAGTCATGTTCAACATTGTACTTGTTGTTTGGATGTCTGAGTGTTGCTTTCTTCAGTTTCTGTTGCTGTTGAAATTGCAGATTTTTTTGTTGAGATAAAGGCTTGGTTATCAGGGTTCTGAGTAGGTTGCAGCTGGTATTCTTTAAAGTCCACTTTAGTGTTAATTCCTTCTTCTTCTGTTGCCTTTTGAGTTGTAAGTTCATCAGTTGATATCTAGGCTGCATTTTGTAGCTTTAAGGTAGCACCTTTATCTTTCAGTCTGGAATTCATTAACTCAGTAGCCTCTAGGATTTTTTCAAGTATAAGTTTGTAGTTAAGTTGTGGGTAGTATTCCTCCATTTCTGTGGTGTTTATAGATAGTCCTTTAATGGAGGCTATTTTTGATAAAAGTCAATAAATGTCCACCTCCACTACAGAGAGTTGTTTTCACCATCCAGCTGTTTCAAGTTCTTATCTTTTTTGATAATGTCAAGGACAAATCTTAGCCTCACAGGTCTCCCATTCAGAAAAAAAAATCACTTGCTGTACCAAATTTTGCCACAAGATGTCCCCAGTAACATGTAAAATCTTTTCCCAAACTCAAGTTAGGTTTTTATCCGGTTTTAAAAAAAAGAAATAATCTTTCTTTTTTTCCAGCTTACCAGATAGGTAAGTTAATAAGTCACTGTAGAAACAGAAACCTTTTGGGAGCCCAGGTATCCAAAAATTACAAGTCCAGGTATTTAGTCGTTTAGTTTAGTTATTCTTTTTTTCCCCCACAGCTTTATATTCCCAAAGTAGGCAGAAGCCGCAAAATTAAGAAAGGGGGGGGGGAATTTCCAAAGGCTTTTACAGGAAAGTGGTTGGGAAGCAAGAAAGGTAAGGTAAGGTCTCACCCAATTACTCCACGTTGGTTTCGTTGTGCTTGGTAATGCTTTTGGCTTTCGGCTGGAACGGCTTAGTGATGGCCAACCTTTTCTTCGTCGGTCCAAAGGAGCTGCCTCAGATCAAACGGAAGGGCTGCCGCCCTTCCACGATCTATTGAGGGTCCTCCTCAACAGTGGTCACCCCTTCAGGGTGACTTTCGACCCTTTTCAGGGTCTTCCGACGAAGGGAAACCTGACGGTGGAGAGCGCGCTTTTCCTGAACGTCCGCTGGAGCCGCGATCCAGAACCGGAAGCCCACAATAAGAACTATTTATGTGTCCAAAATATACAGCTTAATATTTTAGGAAATGATTCCTGTAAAAGTTTAGCATCTGAACATACTCAGAAGTTACTTTCGTACTGCACAGAGACTGTCCTTGAATTTTCAAATATTAAAAAAAAAAACACCAGAATCTTGCAGAAGTTTCTGTTCTACTTTCCTGCCTCTTATACCTCATGAATCAAGTAGGAATCAGGAGTCGATTCGAACCTCTTCTTAACATTATCTTCCTTTCCAGGGCTTAAGGAATACTTGTGCCCTTGTTTCTGAAATGGCTCCTGAAGGAACTTCAAGACTGTCTCCATGGCTCTCTACACCACGGGTGTCAAACTCGTCACATCACGTGACACGATGTATCGCAACTTTATTTGCATTGCCAAAGTTGGGGTGGACGCGGCCTCCGTATGATGCAACCAACCCATGGGCCAGCAGTTTGACATCCCTGCTCTACACCAACTCAACATATTTATCAGCTCCTACATAGCTCCTTTGGCTGTCAGATTGCTAAAGTGGCTTGACTATTAGTTAGAAGAGATCTAATCTGCTGATTTCCAAAAACCCACCATTCAACTTCCAATTAATTTTGATGTCCTTCACAAGGTATAATTTATTTCCCCGTCCTTCTTCAAATATTTTAAATATCCCTCTCTATCACGTTCAAGATAGTCTAATACAGCAACTATTTTATTTCCTTGAGCCAGCTCCTTTGTATCCAAATATTAGTGACTGATACAGAAGTGATTAAAAAATGGCTCCACAGATGTTTTTGATGGCTGCAGAATTATAATTACATTCCAAATTCCAGATATCCAACAAATGCTACTTCCACATCTAACCAAGCTGTGTGCATATGATTTACCTCTCAAGCCCCTCTGCCTATAGAAAGTCCAAAGGCAATGCCATCATAAACAAAGAGGTAAAACTATGTCTAATTCCAAGCAGCCTTGAAGAGACAACCAACGTAGTTATCTTTAACTCTGGCATTGACAAACACCCTTTCAAAGGAAATGTTAGTTACAAACTCCTTACCTTCTGGCTAAAATATCTAACTGTTACTTGCCAAAAGTTAATTGATTTGAAACAAGCCTTGTCACTATTATACTATGATGTAGTATTAAATCTGTTTCAATGTCTAGTTCCCAAACTTGGAACCCTGAAAAGCCAACAATTTTATCTTGCAAATATCAGAACAACTGCAGCTCACTAAAGATAATTTCATCCTGATTCCTCTCTCTTTAGCCCCACACTCCAACTACTATCAAAGTAGTTGATATCACTGTGAACTGACATATGTGAGAATTCCACCTAAAAGCAGTTCTTAAAGGCATGCAAAAGCAATGAAAGCACTACAAATATTTACAATGTTGATCCTCCACCAGACTGAGTTTTATCCCAGGCCTATTAGAATATGTTCATGCCGACTTCCGGTGGTGATGTCAACACGGTGCAGAGCTAAGAGGACAGTCTCCATCCTCTAACTCTGATTTTTCCAAGTTTGGAGACCCCTCAGGGGCGCAGAGAGCCTGGAGGGCTATGCACGATAAAGGGTGACGCCTGGAGGAGTAGCGAGGTGAGAGGCGATCACCCGCTACGACGAAGGAA